CTGGAGTGCAATGGCGCGATCTCGGCTCACTGCAACCTCCGCCTCCTAGGTTCAGGCAATTCTCCTGCCTCAGCCTCCTGAGTAGCTGGGATTACAGGCACGCGCCACCATGCCCAGCTAATTTTTTGTAGCTTTAGTAGAGACGGGGTTTCACCATGTTGACCAGGATGGTCTTGATCTCTTGACCTTGTGATCCGCCCGCCTCGGCCTCCCAAAGTGCTGGGATTACAGGCTTGAGCCACCGCGCCCGGCCCTAATTTTTGTATTTTTAATAGAGCTAGGGTTTCACCACGTTGGCCAGGCTGGTCTCGAACTTCTGACCTGTTATCCACCTGCCTTGGCCTCCCACAGTGTTGGGATTACAGGTGTGAGCCACTACACCTAGCTGTGGCTGTTTTTTTTTAACCTTTGTAGGAAGATATTGTTCACACTGTGCAACACATTAATCTTTTCATTTTACTTTCCTGTAGCTTGTTCTATGTCAACACATAGAGGTTTATGTAATTTCTCTTTCAATAGTGAGTGGAATTCTGTTGTAGGACTTGATATAAATAATTAACCAATTTCCTATTGATGGATTTCTTTCAGACTGAATCTCGCTCTGTTGCCAGGCTGGAGTGCAGGTGGCGCGATCTTGGCTCATTGCAACTCCCGACTCCTGGGTTCAAGCAATTCTCCTGCCTCAGCCTCCAGAGTAGCTGGGATTACAGGTGTCTGCCACCACATCCAGCTAATTTTTTTGTTTTTAGAAGAGACAGGGTTTCACCATGCTGGCCAGGCTGACCTTGATCTCCTGACCTTGTGATTTGCCCGCCTTGGCCTCCCAAAGTGTTGGGATTACAGGCATGAGCCACCTCACCTGGCCCTATTGCTGGATTTCTAAGTTATTTCTAATCTTTTGCTATTACAAATCTACCCTGACCATTTTTTTTTTTTTTTTTTTTAATAAAAAATAGAGATGGAGTGTCACCATGTTGGCCAGGCTGGTCTTGAACTCCCGACCTCAGGTGATACACCCATCTCAGTCTCCCAAAGTGCTGGGATTACAGGTGTGAGCCACCATGCCCAGCCAGCCTGACCATTCTTTTGAAGTTCCTTTTATTTAAAGATGGAGTTTCACCAGCCAGGCATGGTGGCTCACGCTTGTAATCCCAGCACTTTGGGAGGCCAAGGCAGGTGGATCACGAGGTCAAGTGATTGAGACCATCCTGGTCAACATGGTGAAACCCCGTCTCTACTAAAAATACAAAAAATTAGCTGGGCATGGTGGCACGTGCCTGTAATCCCAGCTACTCAGGAGGCTGAGGCAGGAGAATTGCCTGAACCCAGGAGGCAGAGGTTGCGGTGAGCCAAGATCACGCCATTGCACTCCAGCCTAGGTAACGAGCGAAACTCCGTCTTAAAAAAAAAAAAAAAAAGATGGGGTTTCACCATGATGGCCAGGGTGGTCTTGAACTCCTGACCTCAGGTGATCCACCCACTTCGGCCTCCCAAAGTGCTAGGATTACAGGCGTGAGCCACCACGCCCAGCCTCTTTTGAAGTTCTTTGTGTATGTTTGCAAGTATATGAATAGATACCTTGATGCGGAATTGCTGGGTCTTAAAGTGTGTACATTTAAATTTTTTTTTTTTTAAATGGAGTTTCACTCTTGTTGCCCAAGCTGGAATACAATGGCATGGTCTCGGCTCACCACAACCTCCACCTCCTGGGTTCAAGCGATTCTCCTGCCTTAGCCTCCCGAGTATCTGGGATTACAGGTGTGAGCCACCTTGCCCCGCCTGCATTTTAAATTTTGAACAAGAGTTTTTGCCAGTTTATATGCCTATTAACATCTCAACACAACTGTGTTTTTAAACTTTGGGATTGCTGCCCAACTAAGAGATAAAACATTATATTTTATAGACAGGCAGTCTATTAAAAAAAGAAGTAAAAGGACTGGATGTGGTGGCTCACGCATGTAATCCCAGCACTCTGGGAGGCTGAGGCAGGTGGATCACCTGAGGTTGGGAGTTTGAGACCAGCCTGACCAACATGGAGAAACCCATCTGTACTAAAAATAAATAAATTAGCTGGATGTGGTGGTGCCTGCCTGTAATCCCACCTATGGGGAGGCTGAGGCAGGAGAATTGCTTGAACTCCGGAGGCGGAGGTTGCGGTGAGACGAGATTGCACCATTGCATTCCAGCCTGGGCAATAAGAGCAAAACTCCGTCTCAAAAAAAAAAAAAAAAAAAGAAGTGTAAAAGTTTCTCAGAGATGATCTCCATGAACAACCAAATAAAAAAGTATTCAACTACATTAGTCTTTAGGGAAATGCATATTAAAGCCACAGTGAGATGTTACTCTACGTCCAGATGTTGGTATGTATGTGAAGCACCAGGAACTTTTAAATATGGGTAAAAGTGTAAATTGGTATCATTGAGATCATTAGGCATCCACCTTAAAGTCTTGATTTGGTGTCTGGGTGTGGTGCCTCATGCCTGTAATCCCAGCACTAGGGTAGGCCAAGGTGGATGGATTACTTGAGCCCAGGAGTTGGAGACCAGCCTGGCCAACATGGTGAAACCCTGTATCTACTAAAATACAAAAAAATAGCTAGGTGTGGTGGTGTGCGCCTATAATCCCAGCTACTCCGGAGGCTGAGGCACCAGGAGAAGGCACAGGTTACTGAGAGCTGAGATTGTGCCACTACACTCTGCCCTGGGTGACGGGGCAAGACTAGATTACCATTTTGAGATGCTGGCAGTATTCTATATCTTTGGTTTTTTTTTTTTTTTTTTTAAGACAGTTTTGCTCTTTTGGTGCAGGCTGGAGGTGCAGTGGCACAGGCTCAGCTCACTGCAACCTCCACTTCTGGGTTCAAGCAGTTCTCCTGCCTTAGCCTCCCAAGTAGCTGGGATTACAGGTGCCCCCCAGGCCTGGCTAATTTTTTGTATTTTTAGTAAAGATGGGGTTTTATCATATTCATCGGTCTGTACTTGAACTTCTCACCTCAAGTGAGCCACCACACCCGGCCTGTTTACTTATTTTTTGAGACGAAGTCTTGCTCTGTCACCCAGGCTGTAGTGCAGTGGTGTATTCTCAGCTCACTGCAACCTCCACCTCCTGGATTCAAGTGATTCTCCTGCCTCAACCTTCCTAGTAGCTGGGATTACAGGTACGTGCCACCATGCCCAGCTATTTTTGTTTGTTTGTTTTTGTTTCCTTTATTTTTTATTTTTTAAAATTTTATTATTTATTTATTTATTTATTTTCTGAGACGGAGTTTCGCTCTTGTTACCCAGGCTGGAGTGCAATGGCGCGATCTCGGCTCACCGCAACCTCCGCTTCCTGGGTTCAGGCAATTCTCCTGCCTCAGCCTCCTGAGTAGCTGGGATTACAGGCATGCGCCACCATGCCCAGCTGATTTTTTGTATTTTTAGTAGAGACGGGGTTTCACCATGTTGACCAGGATGGTCTCGATCTCTTGACCTCGTGATCCACCCGCCTCGGCCTCCCAAAGTGCTGGGATTACAGGCGTGAGCCACCGCGCCCGGCCTTTATTTTTTCTTTTGAGACAGGCTCTCACTCTGTCACCAGGCTTGAATGGCACCATCTCGGCTCACTGCAGCCCCAATCTCCTGGGCTCAAATGATCCTCCCACCTCAGCCTCTCTAGTAGCTGAGCCTACAAGTGCATGCTACCAAGGCTGGCTAATTTTTTTTTTTTTTTTTTTTTTTTTTTAAGATTGAATCTCGCTCTGTCACCCCGGCTAGAGTGCAGCAGCTCAATCTCGACTTACTGCAACCTCCGCCACCCAGTTCAAGCAATTCTCATGCCTCAGCCTCTCCAGTAGCTGGGACTACAGACATGCAACACTATGCCCAGCTAATTTTTGTCTTTTAGTAGAGACGGGGTTTCACCATGTTGGCCAGGCTGGTCTATAAATCCTGACCTTAGGTGATCTGCCCGCCTCAGCCTCCCAAAGTACTGGGATTACAGGTGTAAGACCGCACTTTGATAAAGACAGAGAACTTTGTATTTTATATATTTTATAGCTCTCATCACAGGTGTCTAGTAAATGTTTTAAAACACTGATGGCACCTGATGCAAGAATTATCAGACTTATCTCACTAAGAGGAAATGAAACTGCTCAAGGGTTTGGACTCACATGTTCAAGACTTCGTGGACAGCAATCCGCAGTGGGTCAAATTATTGTTTTTAGTATGACTTAAAGTGTTTCTCAAAAATATAAAAGTCTTGAAAACAAGCTGGGAAAGTGAATTTCAAAATCCCATTAACTAAGACTAAAGTGCAATCCATCAACCTTTTTTCCTCATCCCACACCTTACGCTTTCTCTACTCAGTTACTCACTACGCCCTGCTGGACTAAAAGGGTCCTCCAGCACTTTCTTTTTTACACAGTGCAAGGCATTCTCTTGGCGTTAATAAATGTTCACTTAATAAATAAAAGAGGCTGGGTGCTGTGGCTCATACCTGCAATCCCGGGACTTTGGGAGGCCAAGGCAGGAGGATCGCTTGAGCCCAGGAATTCCAGCCTAGGCAACGTAGCGAAACCCAGTCTCGAAAGGAAAAAAAAAAGCCTTGCACTGTGTTACACATCTGTTCCTAAAAAAAAAAAAAAAAAAGCATCAAAAAATAAAGGTAAAAGATGGCATGACATGACCAGACTTTTCTAAAAGCCTCTTACAGCTTTCCAAGGTCTTTTAATATGAAGCTGTAGGTCTCAACTAGAAGACACCTCCAAAGACTTCTCCCAAACATTTCAGAGGCAGGAATGAGTTTCCCCACATCTGAAGGCACATCAGAACCCAGGTAGCCACGCCCGGCCTCTTTTTCTTTTTTTGAGACGGAGTCTCGCTCTGTCTCCCAGGCTGGAGTGCAGTGGCGCGATCTTGGCTCACTGAAACCTCCGTCCAGGCTTTTTTCCAACCCAAAGGCGGGACTGCGCTCTATCTCGACTTTCGGCTCCACTCGGAGCCCGAAGTGGCGCACGAGATAAGATGTCCGGCTGAGGTAATTCTGTCAGTCCCGGTAAAAATTCGTCAGTCTGGGAATCTCTCGGTTTGGAATTAAATTCTGTCACTCCGAATGGAAATAAGTCCGCTTAGGCGGGGAGAATCCGTTTGTGGAAGACACTCCGCAACGCTCCCGCCGGTCACCCCAGAGGAAAAGGACCCCAAATACCTTTGGCCCGGGACTGCAGCTGCCACGCCGGACTCCCTAGTCACGCCCCCGACACGCCCCCGACGGACAGGTCAGACCAATGGACGCCGAGCTCTGCCGCGCGTCACGCGACGCTGGCCAATGGCGTAGGGCCACGACCGTAGAAAGGCCGAGCGCTGCGGGGCTGGCCGCTGGGTGGCGGCGGCGGCGGCGCGTGCTGCGTAGTTTTGAGCTATGGTGATGGTGGCAGCCGCGCCGAGCCCGGCCGACCGGGCCCCTAAAGTACTGCTTCTGTCGGGGCAGCCCGCCTCCGCCGCCGGAGCCCCAGCCGGCCAGGCCCTGCCCCTCATGGTGCCGGCCCAGAGAGGGGCCAGCCTGGAGGCAGCGAGCGGGGGACCGCCCCAGGCGCGCAAGCGACAGCGCCTCACGCACCTGAGCCCCGAGGAGAAGGCGCTGAGGAGGTGGGCGAGGGGCCGGGATCTGGGGTCAGGTCTGAGGCCGGGACTAGCGGCAGGGGTCGGGACTGGGACTGGGGCTGGGGCTAGGGCTGGGAGCGGGGACACAGCACTGGCCGCTCCGCAGGGCTCCGGCGCCTTTGGCCTGGCGGGTTGGTGCCAGCGTGTCGCGGGGCGGGTCAGGAACCCCGGAGTGACCGGATCCGCCACGCCGGGAACCCAGGGCGGCCCAGGCCTCTTTTCTGCACTTTTTAACTCTCTGGTTAGAGATGACTTGAGCTGGGGATGCGGGCACTGTCTTCCAAGCCCTCTTGCTGTGTGGCCGCAGACCCGTGGCTCAGCCTCTCTAAACTCGGGCTGTGACATGAAGCCGAACAATCTGTTTGGTTTACTACTATTTGTGAAGAGGCGCGGAGCTGAAATAACGGCTGTTGAAAGGGCTGGGAGCTCTGGGAGGCTCACTGGTCTAGCCCAGTGTCTGCATTCTTACAATGGAACCTATTTCATGAGGTCTTTGGGTAGATTGAGACTTGCATAAAATGTACCTAGCATTTAGTCGTCCGTAAATGTTCACTCTTCTGTGATCATTATGCCTTTTGTGATTTATGAAGTGTCTCCTCTGAGTTCAATTAATTCTTAAAAAAATAAAAAACGAAGTGTCTCCTCCAACAGACACCGGCCCATCATCAGAGCACTGCCTAGGATCCCAAAACTAGAGATCAGGGAATGGCATCAGCCTCTCCCTTTTCTAAATTGGGCTTGGGGACGGAGGGTTGATGTCATAGGAAGATTGCAGCCTTCACTAGATTATTGAGGTCAGGTTGGATCCTGTTGAGAGTTGGAGACAGGAAGCAGCGGGGGAGTAGATGGGGAAAGAGGAAAGTTCTTTATGATGCAAGATGAATAGTGTGTGTGTCCAGCCCTAGTGCTGTGACGGGAGGAGTCTGAGGTGGGCGGATGATGCAATATGGGAGAGAATAAAGCAGGTCTTCGAGCTAGATTGACAGAAGACTGTATTTTATCATTAGTTTATCTTATACTGTAAATAAAAATGAAAGCACCAGCTGGTCAAGTTTTCAAATAAAGACATAAATAAGGTTTGAAATGACTCAGTGTGGTATGTTCCTTCTCTTCTCAGGAAACTGAAAAACAGAGTAGCGGCTCAGACTGCCAGAGACCGAAAGAAAGCTCGAATGAGTGAGCTGGAACAGCAAGTGGTAGATTTAGAAGAAGAGGTAAAACTACTTAAAGTCAAACTCTTATCCGTTGTATACCCTTCCTTGGTGAATGTTCTGATATTTGCTTCTCATCCCAAGTTGTTTCAGCCCCTGTTAGAGTACAATTGAATATTGATTAAAAGCTAAACTAGACCAGGCATGGTGGCTCAGGCCTGTAATCCCAGCACTTTGGGAGGCCAAGATAGGCAGATCACTTAAGGCCAGCAGTTTGAGACCAGCCTGGCCAACATGGTAAAACCCTGTCTCTACCCAAAAATATACAAAAAAAAAAAATTAGCCAGGCATGGTGGTGCTTGCCTGTAGTCCCAGCTACTAGGGAGGTTGAGGTGGGAGAATTGTTTGAACCTGGGAGAGGGAGGTTGCAGTGAGCTGAAATCGCACCACTGCACTCCATTGTGGGCAACAGAGTGAGACTGTTGTCTCAAGAAAAAAAAAGTTGGTCAGGCACAGTGGTGGCTCATGCCTGTAATCCCAGCACTTTGGGAGGCCAAGGTGGGTAGATTACTTGAGACCATGAGTTCAAGACCGACTTGACGAACATGGTGAAACCCATCTGTACTAAAAATACAAAAATTAACCAGATGTCATAGCAGGCACTTGTAATCCCAGCTGCTCAGGAAGCTGAGGCATGCGAATCACTTGAACCCAGGAGGCAGAGGTTGCAGTGAACTGAGATTGCGCCACTGCACTCCGGCCTGGGCAACAGGGTGAAACCCTGTCTAAAAGAAAGAAAGAAAAGTTAAACTAATCTAAGTTAGGATAGATAGGTAGTTGGTGAAGTGGTGAAGCTTGTTGAGGGCAGAAGTGATTGACTTTGTGGCCTTTGGTGTTAGATGTATCTCAGAGTTGATGGATTCAACAATGTTTAGTGAGTTTGTAGTAAGAAATTAGCAAGGGCTAATAGGAAATAATTGCTTAAACTTTACATCCTTCCTTGGCATGGCCAAAAATTCACAATTACACATCTTGAATACATAGAGATTATTTACTTTTTTTTAACCCCTTGGTCAGTTTGCATATATTGTTCTTTTTAAAGTTTTAATCATTAGTTGGTTCTTCTAAGAATCATGAGTCTTTCAGGAACGGGTTTTTTTTTAAACTTATTTTGGATTCACAATCACCACTATCACTGTTAATACCTGCCAGTTCAAGATAGTTATTTTTTTATTTCTATTTTTTTATTATTATTTTTTAGACAAAGTCTTGCTGTATTGCCCAGGCTGGAGTGCAGTGGTACAGTCCTGACTCACTGTAACCTCTGCCTCTCAGGCTTAAGCAATTCTCCCTGCTTCAGCCTCCTGATTAGCTGGGATTACAGGTGCCCCACCACCATGCCCAGCTGGCTAATTTTTGCATTTTTTAGTAAACACAGGGTTTTGCTATGTTGGCCAGGCTGGTCTTAAACCCCTGACCTCAGGTGATCCACCCACCTTGGCCTCCCAAAGTGTTGGGATTACAAGCGTGAGCCACTGCACCTGGCCAAGAAAGTTTTAAAAAAATTATATCTACATTAAAACCACAAGTCACCCTTTGCTGAATTGAGTATTAGCAGTTGGAAGCAGTGTGTTATTCTTGACCCCATGAAGTGGCACTTATTAAGTAGATTGTTTTTCTTTCTTTTTTTTGAGACTGAGTCTCCCTCTCTCTGTCACCAGTGGCTCGATCTCAGTTCACTGCAACCTCCGCCTCCCAGGTTCAATCGATTCTCCCACCTCAGCCTCCCGAGCAGACGAGACCACAGGCATGCGCCACCATGCTCGGCTAATTTTTTTGCATTTCTAGTAGATACGGGTTCTCACCACGTTGGCGAGGATGGTCTCAGTCTCCTGACCCCATGATCCACCCACCTCAGCTTCCCAAAGTGCTGCAATTACAGGCGTGAGCCACCTCGCCCAAGTAGATTGTTTCTCATAATTAATGGCCTAGCTTTCTAAAACCTACTATGAACAACACAAGCATAGAGTTTTCCAAATTCAAGAGGAAAGGAAACCAAGAATCAGGTAGATTCTTAACTGAAATAATTAGGTATTTCAATAGCCTCTTATGAACTTTCTTCCAGAACCAAAAACTTTTGCTAGAAAATCAGCTTTTACGAGAAAAAACTCAGAGCCTTGTAGTTGAGAATCAGGAGTTAAGACAGCGTTTGGGGATGGATGCCCTGGTTGCTGAAGGGGAGGCGGAAGCCAAGGTAAATCATCTCCTTTATTTGGTGCCTCATGTGAGAACTGGTTCCAAGTGACGTGATTATGTTTACAGTGATTATGTTTACAGTTTGAACTTCTGATCAAGAGCGTTCTTGAAAATTTCCTTCAGTTTTAAGACATTTTCATGCAGGCAGGGTGTTCTTCCCCTAAAAAAGCACTTGACATTCATTTTTTAAGTGTGTAGTGATCAACAAGTTACATGGCTCTGTAAGAACAAGTACTAACAAATGCAGTAGCCAACAAGATTACCATTCAATCATTAAGGAGCACCAAAGTAAGAGAGCCACTCAAATCAGACTCTGAGTGCTACTAAAATTAAAGTAGTCCTTTGATGAATATGAATGAGTAAGGAAAGGATTCTTTGTGATAGTGATACCTCTGTGATAAGAGAAGGGTGGTGTGTGATTGACAGAAGGGCAGTTTTACTCTATGAAGGTAATGTTCAGGAAGAATTTAAAGAATTACTTTTCAAAAAGATTCTAGGCTTATATTGCTATAGAACTTTATTATCTAAGAATATTATTATTGAGGATAGCAAGATAAGATATTATTTGTCAGTTCTGCTTAAATCTTTGCCTGGAGGAAGAAAAATGTTTCATTGTGTAGGAAATGTATAAGGAAGTCTTAACCTCCCTTTTCTTATCTCTAGAGGACTTAAATTGGAAATAACAATGGTTAGGGAAAGATTTCAGCTCTAAAGGACAGTTTTCTAGCTTTCTTGAAAGTGAGAATCACAGCTGTCTGGGCAAGCATTTCCTTGGGAACTTGAAGCTGTTTATTCACTTTGGTGTTTCCTCCCAGGGGAATGGAGTGAGGCCAGTGACCGGGTCTGCTGAGTCCGCAGCACTCAGACTACGTGCACCTCTGCAGCAGGTGCGGGCCCAGTTGTCACCCCTCCAGAGCATCTCCCCATGGATTCTGGCGGTATTGACTCTTCAGATTCAGAGGTAGGGATCATTCTGACTTATTCAAGAGCTATATAACCAGTTAATTCCATCTGTTTGATGCTCGACATCCCTAACTAGACAGATGAGGGTAGAAGTTCAGTTTTGGTGGGGTTGGAGGTGAACATCAACTACCTTCCTAGTTCCAGATAACACAGGACATGGAGGGAAGTGTAGATAAATGGGTCTGGTGGGTCCTGAGATCATCTTATAATGTAATGACTAATTTACATTATGGAACCCAGTATGAAGTGTTCCAGTTAGATTTCCCTTGTACTCTGATAGTTGTACTTCATTTAATTTTTGCCTCTTGCAGTCTGATATCCTGTTGGGCATTCTGGACAACTTGGACCCAGTCTTGTTATTCAAATGGCCTTCCCCAGAGCCTGCCAGCCTGGAGGAGCTCCCAGAGGTCTACCCAGAAGGACCCAGTTCCTTACCAGCCTCCCTTTCTCTGTCCGTGGGGACGTCATCAGCCAAGCTGGAAGCCATTAATGAACTAATTCGTTTTGACCACATATATACCAAGCCCCTAGTCTTAGAGATACCCTCTGAGACAGAGAGCCAAGCTAATGTGGTAGTGAAAATTGAGGAAGCACCGCTCAGCCCCTCAGAGAAAGATCACCCTGAATTCATTGTCTCAGTGAAGGAAGAACGTATAGAAGATGACCTCGTACCAGAGCTGGGTATCTCAAATCTGCTTTCATCCAGCCACTGCCCGAAGCCATCTTCCTGCCTACTGGATGCTTACAGTGACTGTGGATATGGGGGCTCCCTTTCTGCCTTCAGTGACATGTCCTCTCCGCTTGTAAACCATTCTTGGGAGGACGCTTTTGCCAATGAACTCTTTCCTCAGTTGATTAGTGTCTAAGGAATGATCCAATACTGTTGCCCTTTTCCTTGACTATTACACTGCCTGGAGGATAACAGAGAAGCCTGTTGTGCTTCATTCAGAAAGCCAAAATAGAGTATACAGTCCTAGAGAATTCCTCTAAAGTATTTGTTCAAACCTCATAGATGACCCCCAGGTGTTGTCTTTTGACATCCAGCAGTCCAAGGTATTGAGATACATAACTATAATTGAGAAATATTACTATAATTGAGAACTACAGCTTTTTTAAAGATTTTACTTTTGGAGTCGGGTGCGGTGGCTCACACCTGTAATCCCAGCACTTTGGGAGGCTGAGGTGGGCGGATCACCTGAGGTCAGGAGTTCAAGACCAGCCTGACCAATATGGTGAAACCCCATCTTAAAAAAAAAAAAAAAAAAAGATTGTACTTTTATCTTAAGGGTGGTAGTTTGCCCTAAAATATATATTATGTATAAAATACTTAGGTATGTCTTGAAGTAGACATGGAATTTATTAATGGTTCTTTACCATGTCTCTTCCCCCTTTTTGGCATCCAGGCTTGTCTCCAGTTTTAGGTCCTTTAGTTTGTTTCTGTAAGCAAAGAGAACCACCTGACTGAGGGGGCTCTTTCCCTCATGTATACTTCAAGTAAGATCAAAAATCTTTTGTGCAATTATAGAAATTTACCATGTAAATGCTTAATGGAATTTTTTCCTGCTAGTATAGATTCTGAAAGGTGCTTTCTCCATTTATTTAAAACTACCCATGCAATTAAAAGGTACAATGCAGCAATCCTTGCTCTTTGATTTCTTCTAGGGCCATAAGTCTTATTTTCTCTCTGGATGTTTATCTGTGTGCTGTGGTAGAAATTTATCCATCTGAAGTGAGCCTGCCGCTTTTAAAGTAACTGAAGGCTTTTCCACTTTAATTACTGCCTGCTTTAATTCTGGAGTGCCATAAGTGATATAATCCATAATTTGAGTAGTTACTGTCTTTCTGAGACAGATTCTTCAGCCTAATTGACCAATATCAGAGCTAGCAAGCGGCAGAGCTAGAACCCTAACCACTATTTGCTATGCCATCTTATAAATGTTAAGACACACCATCACATAATCAAGATTCTCTTGCCCTTATCGTGGGGATAAGAGCATTTTCTAGACTCAGATTCCCTAGTTTCAACTCTGACACTGGTAAACTGGATAATCCAGGGGTTATATATAATCACTTATTTCCTCATCTGTAATGTTGGATAAGGGTATCTGTAAAGGCTGTTGAGAAGAGTCAAAGAGATGATGCATTATAAGCATTTAGTATATGCCAGACACCAGCCTAAACATTGGAAAGTTAGCTATTATCTCCTAATTGGAAGGGTTTTAATCTCTTCCAGAATTATATTGACTCAACTTGTTTCATCAAAGAATAAACCTCTTCAAGAAAAAAATCCTAGAGACATGAATACAACTCTCAAAGAGTTGATAACCTCTTCATCCTTACATAGCATCTTTTCCTTGGAAATCTTACAATGTTTTACAGGACTTTCCTTATTTATAAAAAGTTCACCTATGCCAGTAGATGAAATCATTCTATGCCAATTTAGCATGTAAATGCTGTGTTCCCTACTTAAGACTAACTCTGGGTACATCAAAGTGAATGAGTAGAAAAAAGGAGGCAGGATTCAGAGAATCCCAAACAGCAAGGCAAAGTGAGCTATAGAATGCCTTTGGTGTAGACTGGGTGCAGTGGCTCATGCCTGTAATCCCAACACTTCAGGAGGCTGAGATGGGTGGATCAGCTGAGGTCAGGAGTTCCAGACCAGCCTGACAAACATGGAGAAACCCCAACCCTACTAAAAATACAAAATTAGTCAGGCATGGTGGCACATGCCTATAATCCCAGCTACTTGGGAGGCTGAGGCAGAATTGCTTGAACCCAGGAGGCAGAGGTTGCAGTGAGCCGAAATTGTACGATTTCGCTCCAACAAGAGTAAAACTATCTCCAAAAAAAAAGAAGGAATACCTGTGGTATAGTGGCTGGAGGTAAGTCAGCTGCCTTCAAGATCTGGTCACTGAAGCCAGAGAGCAATGCAAGCTTGCTTAGGCTCTTAAGTTTCTTGAGAAATTTATAGGCCAGGCACAGTGGCTCATACCTATAATCCCAGCACTTTTGAGAGGCTGAGGACAGCAGATTGCTTGAGCTGAGTTCAAGACCAGCCTGGATAACATGGCAAAACCCTGTCTCCACTAAAAGTAAAAAAAAAAAAAAAAAAAATAGGCATGTGTGCATCAGTGATCCCAGCTACTCAGGAGGCTGAGATAGGAGGACTGCTTGAGGCCAAGGGGTAGAGGTTGCAGTTAGCCAAGATAAGCAGCGCTGCACTCCAGACTGGGTGACAAAGCAAGACTGCCTAAAACAAAAAAAGTTTCTGTATTATAAAAACAGCCTCCAGCTGACCTCATGATTGAAAACTTTATCTTACCTGATTTTCTATAACTCTGCAAACCTTAGTGCCAAGAATCTATTTAGGGATTGTATAGGCAGATGTAATTACAGATGTACTTTAGCCTCTATCATTATAGCACAAGCATCTGAAGGTTGAGGCTTAAGTTATTTATATTCAATGATACCACATGAAAGAGGCAGCTGTACTAACAGGACAGGCAGGACATATATAACCTCTGTAGAGTATCAGGGTTTTCATTTCCTGCATAGATGGGTAGAAATTACTAAACAATGCTCAGCCTTGAGAAAACACCTGGTATTCACGGACATTTTCATACTGAAACACCAAATTTAATGGTTAGAACCAAAAATCAAGATATTCCCACAAAACCAAAGCAAGGTTTCCATTAAATGCAGAGCGTTTTTTGTTTTTTTTTTTTTTTTTTTTTTTTTTTGAGACGGAGTTTCACTCATGTTACCCAGGCTGGAGTGCAATAGCGCGATCTCGGCTCACCACAACCTCCGCCTCCTGGGTTCAGGCAATTCTCCTGCCTCAGCCTCCTGAGTAGCTGGGATTAGAGGCACACACCACCATGCCCAGCTAATTTTTTGTATTTTTTTTTTTGGTAGAGACGGGGTTTCACCATGTTGACCAGGATGGTCTCGATCTCTTGACCTCGTGATCCACCCGCCTCGGCCTCCCAAAGTGCTGGGATTACAGGCTTGAGCCACCGCGCCCGGCCAGGGTTTTTTTTTTTTTTAATCTATTTTTTCTTTTCATGCATGTTGCAGGGAACAGAGGGTTATCTCATAACTGAGATTGAAGAGGCAAGTGGTAAGATGCCTAGGCCTCGTCACACCAATCTCTTTCTCTCCTTGCTTTGTTTTTTGTTTGTTTGAGACTTAATCTCTCGTCCAGGCTGCAGTGCAGTGGCACCATCTCAGCTCATGGCAACCTCCACCTCCTGGATTCAAGCAATTCTTCTGTTTCAGCCTCCTGAGTAACTGGGATTACAGGCACCTGCCACCACACCCAACAAATTCTTTTATTTTTAGTAGAAACAGGGTTTCACTATGTTGGCCAGGTTGGTCTCAAACTCCTGACCTCAAGTGATCTACTTGCCTCGGCCTCACAAAATGCTGGGATTACAGGCATAAGCCACTGCACCTGGTCCCCTCCTTGGTTTTCTACTAGATATGCTATTGGAGCAGAGAGAAAATAGGGACAGAACTATAGGCAGAAGGTAATACTACTTACTCCAGGCACACTTTAAAATATCAGTTACTTTCTAGTCTCTTAAGAATTTAATCTTAGGCCGGGCGCGGTGGCTCACGCCTGTAATCCCAGCACTTTGGGAGGCCGAGGCGGGTGGATCACGAGGTCAAGAGATCAAGACCATCCTGGTCAACACGGTGAAACCCCGTCTCTACTAAACATACAAAAAATCAGCTGGGCATGGTGGTGCATGCCTGTAATCCCAGCTACTCAGGAGGCTGAGGCAGGAGAATTGCCTGAACCCAGGAGGCGGAGGTTGCGGTGAGCCGAGATCGCGCCATTGCACTCCAGCCTGGGTAACAAGAGCAAAACTCCGTCTCAAAA